ACTTGTGCTTAAATTATTTTAGAATGTAATTTTCAAAAATAATTGTATAAAAATGTATAATTAGAAGAAGTAATTAAAATGTAATTCTAAAATCTAATCTTGTCGTCTATCAGGAAATCTAATCTTGTCGTCTATCAGGCACCATCTTGCGGCGCTGGAAGAGGAACTGGTTTGACCTCTGGTCAGATGGGCGTCTGGTCTTCTACGATGACCAGCAGCGGCGGGACATGGAAGATGAGATCCACATGAAGGTGGACTGCATTAACATCCGCAACGCCAGCGCGTGTAGAGGTGGGAGTGATGCGCACTTTAGTCTTCATCCGCTGTCTTTCCTTCTGCTTTTGCAGAATGCGGAAGATGCAAAAACTTCAAAAGTGCCTTTTGATGTAGTACTTGACAGGTTTTTCTAAGTCGTTGGACAAAGACAGGATGAAAAAGTGAATAGTAAGTAACTTGAAAGTCTCCATGTGTTGTTGTTCTTCATCCTCCATTATTTATTTCCAGATCTCATGCCACCTGAAGGCAAGAGCAAGGACTCCCTCCTGCAGATCGTCTGCCGGGACGGTCGGGTCATCAGCATCTGCGCAGACAGTGCAGACGATGCTTTGTGAGTCAAATTTGTTATTAATATTCACAATGTGTGCTTCAAAATTAGATTTTTTGATACTAACTCAATGTATTTTCGCATAGGGCTTGGACCATGGCCCTCCAGGATGCTAGACTCAACACCGTGAGTTACACAAATGCAATTTGAGTGGGAAAGCACGTTCACATTTAAACTTTCCAGTAGCGCAGCTTCTGGAACTGATTTCAGATGCGTTACAGAGGCGTTTGCTGACATGAGTTGGTCTGTTTTGTAGATTGTGCAGCATCCTCAGGTTGGTTTTGCCGAGGACATCGTAGCATCAGCTCCTCCACCCTATTCTGAGTTAAACCCAACTCCACAGGTAATATATTTAGAGGAAAATGACTGTATCAAATGTTGATTACTACAGAAAATATTTTTTTTTACTTGGATATCCAGCTTATGTCGTTGCTTGTGTTTTAAAGCTCTTTTTAGATGTTGACTTTGTCATTTCTGTTTGATCATAAACTTGTTTGACTAGGAAGAACAATTGAGGTCGGATTACGTTTACAAGCAATGCTTGAACGTATATAGGCTCCTATAAAAAGGATGTTATCAAAATCCCAATAAAACACTGCTTGAAATAAAGGTTTCCGTTTTAACGAGTTCAGCTGACGAAAACAGGACACAAATGTAGATTGTTTCCCGATGTTATGTTATGGTTAATATTATAATTCTGTACTATTTCATCTAAATTAATTATAATTGATTATTTTTTTTATTTGTAATTTAATAAATGTGATATATGTTATAAGTTATAATAAAACAAATTTATGATACATTTAAGTATGAAAGTGCATTTTTAATAATATTTAAATGAAATTTTTAAATAAATTTTATGTATAAATATTTATACACATACATATATGCATACACACACACATATATATATATATAAGTAGAATAGAAGAAATGAGCACGCACAATTAAAATTGTAAATATTCTGAATCATGTTATAATGTAATAAAAAAAATTTTAATTCACTTTTATAATTATTAAACATAGTATAAAATGTAACTGCATATAAGGAAAAACTAAAGCAAATATATAATAAATAAATAAAAAAGAAAAATAATCGTTAATGAACAATAATGATATAATAGTAAATAATAATTTATACAAATTTATAATTATTAAAATAAAATAAAAATACATTTAAACAAATAAAAACAAATAATTGAAATGTAAAAATATGGGAAATGAGCATCCATCAATATAAATACTTAAATAAACCCATCAATAAATACTTCGAAATAAAAAAATATTAGTTTATGAAATCATTTTTGACATAAATTATAATACAATAATTTAAATCATAATACAAATAATTTAATTGAATTTAATAAAAAATAAATAAGTCAAAATGAGTGTATATAAATTATATTTTATAAAAATTAAAAAATAGAAATATTCTATATTTAAATGTAATGAGCATCCAGAAAAGTTTTTAAATCAATATACAGTATTTATACCAATTAAAAACTGATAAATCATGTACCCCTAATTTCTTTCTAATTTTCATCTAGGTTTTCTGTCCTGATGGATATGGCGGTTATGTTCCTCATCCTCCGCCTTATGCCACACAGATGGTCTACTCAGCAGATGGGCAGCAGTATGCAGTTGCCTACCCGTATCTTTATCAAGGTAACAGGAAGTTGCTTGACGTTTGACTTTTATGTAGTTTGATTGACATTTGTTATTTGTCTCCATTAGGCAGATACGCACCCGGTGTCAACCACGTCATAGTGCAGGAGCGTCGCCGTGACGACACAGGTGACGTTGCTCTGGGGATGTTGGCTGGTGCTGCGACGGGATTGGCCCTCGGCTCCCTGTTTTCAGTATTCTAATGTGTTTTTGTGAACCCAGCCCAACCCCACCTGACCTACAGTGCAGGAAACCCTTCCCGTGTTGTTTTAACTTTCCCTTTACGCCTCGTAATGCGCAGGTCTGATAATGTAGCCGGGCTGGGCAAATATTCGTTTACTTTTCTGTAATTGTCTTTGTACCAAAGTTTATGTCATTTGGATTAGGCACCAACAAACGCGTTTGCTTTGCAAATTTAATCTGTAGCATACAAAGATATACACTAAAATATTGGCGGCTAAGTCTTAAGATAAGGATAATCAGTGAGGTTTAAAGATCAGCTGCTGTTTAGAAACACAAAGTGTCTGTTGGTGAGTCCTTGATGAAATGAATGATGTTAGTTCTAATTAGAAATGAAACTGTTTGAAATGCCATTTGCAGCTGCAAAGCCAAAATTGTGCTGAATTAAATATGTTTGTGACGGTCTCGTTTAAAAGGAATAGCTCACTCAAAAATGAAAATTCGGTCATAATCTTATTCTCATAAAATTTCTTTAAAAAATATCAGTAAAAATCTATACAATTTTTTTTTTCAGGATACTATTTTCCATACAATAAAAATTGATTTACATCCAGGACATGTTTAATTTTCATTTTTTTGTATAGTATAGTATAATTTGGCAAGAAAACTCGTAATAATACAGATTAATACTGTGACTGCAATTGCAATTTTATTCAGGAATGTATAAAGAGTGCATCCTTACATTGACCACACTTTTTTCAGATTCTTTTTCCTTTCTTTGCCTTTTGTTTTTGTTTAAAATGAATAGTTCACTTGAAAATTATTTTTTTAAATGTTGTTTTCATTTCTTTAACAAAGGATTGCTGAAAATCTATACTTTTTTGACAAAAAATATCTATATAAAATACGAATTTTGAATTGAATGGCAATCAGCAGCATGAACATTTTGTTAAATGTCTTTAAAAATCATGTGATTTCAAGAAATTAAAGGGTGAGTAAATTATGACAGAATTGTCATTTTTGTGTGAAATATTCAGTTAAATCTAATTTGACGGGAAAACTCGTAATAATCTATGATTAATACTCTTGATGGTGAGTGAGATGTTATTCAGGAAAGAGTAAAGAGAGCGTTCTTAAATCTCCTGCACCTTTTTCAATAGTTTTTCCTTTCTTTGCCTTTGTATTTTGTGGCGGCCATTTTATTGTGTTTATTTATACTCAGTGTTATCAAGTGTGTATTCTTCCCTTTTTTGTGGAGACTTTACACTTTCTTTGAGATTTATTTACTTTGAAAAATGTGATTGATTTTGTCTTTGTGTGTTTGTGTGTGTGTGTGTGTGTGTGTGTTTTTTTTTTCTCTTGAGAAAACATTTGAAATGAACTAGCACAATTACTATTCACAATGTTTGTGATGGGTAGCGATAAGGGAAACTTCAGGGAAAAGTTGGATCGATGTGATCGGTTGGATTTACTGTAACATTCACACAATTTATTCTTTACTGTACTTTGACTTTGTTGTGTTTACATAACATGTATAATCATGAGTATATAAGAGATATTAATCATAATTGTTTCATGTATACAAGATGTATCAGTGGATTTCAGGCCATGGTTGAGTTTAACTCTTGTTTTTAAACGTTTGTGACTGAGTTTAATGGAGCAGTGATTCAGAAAAATGACATTTTTCATCTGACATCATACTTGATGCTTAAATGCTTATATCTAATGCGTTTTTCTTTATTGCTTTGCTGTTTGAACCTCAAGAAAATAATTTACTTGTTAATATATACCCACATAATCATGGATGTGTTATTTCTAAACTATTAAAATAAGATGTCCCGTGATTCTTTGGGTCAGTTCACTCATTAAGTTTCAGTTTGCAATCGTTTATAAGAAGCACTGCAACATTACATAAAAAAGAAAATGTAGTGTTTGTATATACCAGTGGATACGGTTTTGTAAGTGTAAATTGAAAAATGTCACATTAGTGCATTAATGTTGTTTGTCTGCTTGCGATTTCTTTCAAGTACCTTGTGTGTGTATTAGATGAAAGCAAAAACGGAACAAGACATGAAAACCACAAAGAGGAGGTAGTTTATACACTTTATTTACAGACGAAAGTAGAAAAAGAGTAGAAAAATTATAAACACTTTAGAGGCGACAAAGAAAGAGGTCTGCATATCCAAAACACGTATTCACATATTTGTAGACACTTTTTCACAGCTCACTGGTTGTCTTTTTACTGGTTGTGATTTTAAGTCTTATTTGGCAATAAGGTACAAAAGTAACCGGCCATTAAGGCACAAGTAACCAACATAAATACAAATACTTTTTTTTTAATCTCTCAAAAGTCTAAGTAAAAATATCATGACCCATTTGCAACAAACCTTTTAAAATTAAGAGGATTTTTAGGAATAATTAATATCTTTCAAATGGCTGTTAGTGCTGATTGGTTATGTTCAGGATAATATTAAGGCTCACAAAAATGTTACACCCCCCAAAAAATCTCAGGATCAAAGACTGGCCAAAGATTTTGAAAATAAAATATGGAGAAGGAGCTTTTGTAAACATGATGGGAAAATATAAATAAATTCCACATGAATCCTGCAAAAATTCATCCCTCTTGACCAAAGTCCTCAGTGAACTTCTTAAGCTTCTCCAGATCCTCCTCGTTCACGGTGGGCTTGGTTTTCTCGAGTGACCTCAACATGTCCTCCTGAGACACACAGACAAGAAGGTCAAAACAAGCTCTGGGACTTCAGCTTTTTTCCCCCACTAGCTGCAAACTTACCAAGCTGACTATCGGCTCCAGGAGTTTATCGCTCGCTACATCCACCCAGGTCATCTGGATCGCGCTTGGGTCGTTTGGAGAGCAGGGGGTTAAGAGGTCATCAACCACAACATCTGGGCTGTTCCATGCCTTTCCCCTGACCTGTTAAAACAGACATGAGAGCATGGATTCGGCTCGATTAGACGCTTCACTAGGCGTACAAACGTATGGAAGCTTTCAATCTCACAATTCAGACTTTTTTTATAAATTCAGAATTACAAGATATAAACACAATTCTGAGAAGAAAAGTCGGAAATTATGATATAAATGATACGATATAAAGTTGCAATTATTTACTTTTATTTAATGGCAATAAAAAGAACAATATGGTAGCTTGTTTTTCCACCATGGGATAAAAAATGTAATAAATAAATAAAAACTTTTTTTTCTCACAATTCAGACTTTCACAGAAGTCAGAATTGCGAGATGTAAACTCAGAATTCAGATAAATAAAATGTCAGAATTTCAAGATATAAACGTTTTTCTCGCACTCCATCTCTGAATTTATATCTCACAAATTTTTTATTTCTTTTTTTTTTATAATTTCAGAATTGCAAGATATAAGTCTGATTTGTGACAAAAACTCACAATCCTAAGAAGAAATTTTGGAATTGTGAAAAAAAAGTCAGAATTATGAGATTAAAAACTCACTATTATTATTATTATTATTATTATTTTTTATTCTGTGGCGGAGAAAAGAACAGATTTTGGAAGCGATGAAAAAAGGCCATTGTGAAGGTAATTAAAAGGAAATTTTATCTCACAATTTAGACTTTTTTTCTCAGAATCACGATATATAAACTCAGAATTGTGAGATGTAAGAATTCAGAGAAACAAATGACAGAATTTCGAGATATAAACTTGTTCTCACAATTCTGCATTTATATCTCATAAATCAGGCTTTTTGTCTCACAATTCTGTGAGACAAACTCAGAAATGCCAGATAAAAAGTCAAAGAGACAAAGTCATAATTAGCTTTTTTTGAAACTAACTTCTATATAAATGTCATTCCATACCTTTTTGAAGTGGGTCGCGCACTGAACTTTGCGGATGGGCTGCATGAGGGCGTCACGAACGACGATGCTGATGTCGGCACCTGAGTAGCCGTCGGTCTTCTTCCCGAGAGTTATGAAATCAGCTTCATCGAGGCTATTGGGAGTGGAGCCGAGGTGCAGCTTGAACATGGAGCAGCGAGCGTGCTGCTCAGGAAGAGGGATGTAGATGCGCTTTTCAAACCTACAACCATGAGACAATAATAAACCAATGCCTATAAAGACATGTAAAGCCATGAGAATTTGTATGACGCACCTTCTCCTGATGGCAGAATCCAGCGTCCACGGGATGTTTGTCGCCCCAAGGACCAGAATTCCTTCGTTGTCGTTTCCTACGCCTGCGAGAATGAGAGAATTAAGTTTAGAATCAATAACGTAATAAATAATGGAAACTATTACGAAGACAAAAACAGCAAAGAAAACAACTGCTAACAAGAATATTAAATAAAAATTAAGGACTTCAGTATAATATTATTTTATAACATTATGAAATTATTATATTACATATTACCTAAATGTATGTTGACATTATTAAAAGTCATAAAAAATCATTTCTAAAGAAAAAATTAAAATATTATGTGGAAAATATTAATTCACAATAATTGTATAGCATATAGAATGGGAAAATTAAGGTTATAATCAATATTTTAAATAATGCATGAACACAAAATGCTATGAACACACACAAAAAATTTTTTTTTAACAAAAATATAACTAAAAAGATTGACTTCAATGTGATAAAATATTATATTATAACATTATATATATATCACTATATATATAAGTCACTGCATTAAAGTCTAAATAAATTATTAAAATATTATCTGGAAAAGATTATTAATTATTCATTCACAGTAATTGTATAACATGTATAACAATAAATGTTGGTCTGAAAAAGCAATGAAAAAAATTCAGTATAAAGAAAAATAGATATGTTATAAAATATTATATTATAACATTATATAGGTTTCAGCAACCCAAAAGAGGATAAGTGGTTTGGAGGAAGGATACATGGATGGATAATATTATATATCAAATAAATAAATAATTTATAAACAATATAAACAAAACATATAAAAAATGTCTGAACAATTAAAACTAAATGGGAAATTGAACCTACATAAGAACCTGCCAAATGAGACCCAGACACTGGCAGATTTGCTGTTGCGACAAAGCTAACGCTAGCTCTGCGTTTACCTTGCATCTGGACCAGAAACTCTGTCTTGATCCTGCGGGCCGCTTCGCTCTCGTTCTCGTTTCTGGAGCCGCACATGGAGTCGATCTCATCAATGAAGATGATTGAAGGCTTGTGCTCTCGAGCCAAACTGAACAGATTCTTCACTAACCTAACAGACAATAACAGAAGCAGTGCCAACAAACACATTGAGAACAACGAGACTCAAATGTGACATAAACTTCTAAACAATATTAATATATTTCCCTCTTGACATCTGAAGAGCACTTACTTCTCGCTCTCTCCCAGCCACTTGGACACCAGGTCTGATGAAGAGATGGAGAAGAAGGTGGAGTTGTTGGCCTCAGTAGCCACTGCTTTAGCCAGGTAAGACTTTCCCGTTCCTGGAGGACCAAAGAGCAGAATCCCTCTCCACGGAGTGCGTTTCCCTGTCCATAACGATGAGCTTCAGCGCAGTTCAGAAAAGACATTTTCAGACATTTTAATTCATGAAACCCATCATACCAGTGAAAAGATGAGGGAATTTGATTGGCAGGATGACCGCTTCTTTGAGGGCCTCTTTGGCTCCTTCCAAACCAGCAACATCGTCCCACTTAATGTTGGGTTTCTCCATAACAATAGCACCTGGAAAGCATGAAAATCCATGTTTCTTCTCTTGTAGATACTTTAATAAAGTGTGTTTTTAACACAAAATGTTGTACCTTGGAGTTGAGTTTGGAATTTCTTTTTCTCCGCATCGCCGTCATCACTGTCAGTCCTGTACAAGATTAAATTTGACATTTTATTTAGGATTAGGATTAGCCGATGTGCAGGAAGTAGATCCTCTCACCCTTTATCGTCTGACTGGGGAACTTTGACAGGTTTGGAGGGCGGCGCGCTCTCTTTCTTCTTCAGGTACTGCTTGAGCTGCTCCGCTCGGTCCAGATACTCGGCACACTTGGCTCTGATGCTCTGCTTGGACTTTTCCCCCTGAGCTTCATCTGCACCGTAAAGCATCACAATAATAATAAAACACATGCCATCATTAGGTCATGGATGTTTTGCTCAATAAAATTGCATTTTTAAATAGGCACTGAATAAATGTAAGATATGAAAGACAGAACGCAGTATACAAATAAATTAAATAAATATATAAATAAAATTTAAAATCTATAAAATAATCTATTTATAATAATCATTTAAATATTATTTTACACTTAAATAATATTATAAATAAACTCCACTTATCTGTACCATAAAATATCAAAACATTAAAACGTGCTATTATTTGTCATGGATTTTTTTTTTCCACAATAAAATGCATTTAATGATGAATCAAATGCATTTACAATATGAAATACAATAAAAACACACATACATATAAAAAATAAAAAACATAATATTATAAAATAAATTATAATCATCTGGACCATAAAACATTAAAAAGTGCCACTATTAGGAATTTTTTTGCTCGCTAAATTGCATTTAATAAGGGATCAAATAAATTTAAGGCGGGGAAAAAAAGGTAAAATATATTAAAATATACTCAATATATAAAATTATAATAACAATTCATCTGTCTATCCATGTTAATAAAATTAAATAAAACACAATACTTTATATTAAATATATACATATATCATAAGACTACATATGGGATCATCTAAATAATACAATTACGTAAAAAGTACAATATTATATATATA